CAGAGCTGGGGCTCGAACCGGCAACCTTTCGATTACAAGACGAACTGCTTGAGCTACGATCACCCTAACAATCTGTAATAATCTATAACAATGATGCTAATAATACTACTACTAATAATAATTTATTAGCACTGTGTGTGGTCAAACATAAACATACACAAACATACACACAAATATAATATAGTAAAAACATATTAACAGCCTTCCATATACCATGTACACATACCTCATACACTGTTTAAAAAATTGGGGCTCAAAGATCCCACTAATTGAGCAAAGTATTATAAAACGTTCTGGGTCAACTCAGAAATCTAAGTCATTTAAAGAGCTTACTATAACACTGAGTAGTACCCAGACAGATACTGACACAAAATGTTACTCTAAAGGTAATAAAATGCCAAAGCCAGCAACATCAACAAAGGGACAAAGTCAAGATGCAAAACAAGCAAGTATTCTTTTTTTTCCCGGCAGGTTATGAGCAAAGTTATTCATAGAAGTAACTTTAGATATTTATTTTTATATCATAGGACTCCCAGAATCTATTTCTGTTTAGAAAACTGCCTTAATGTTTATTTTCTTGTAAAATTCTTCAGTGTACTTTCGTTTCAATTAATTTCATTTCAGTTTTATTTCTACAACAACAGTTGCCTCAAGGTGCATTGTATTAAAATGTAAAGATAACAATAATACAGAGAGATCAGAGAAAACCCCACCAATGAAATGACCCCCAATCAGCAAGCACTTTGGCAACAGTGGGAAGAAAGAATCCCCTTTTAACCCTTTAGGACCTACCATAGAACCAAGTCCGCCAGAGATTACTTTATATTTTTACATGCTGTAGTGCCATTTTTGGGAGCATTTCAAGTTGCTATACATCAATACAACTGTTATAGCCCATATTTTAATAATATGTATGCATTAAGTCCATAGTAACTACATTAATTGCAAAAAAGTGCAATAAACTACAAAAAAACTGAAAATCGTTTTTGTTTTTTTTACATATATTTCTACTTGGAAAATTTTAAGAGGCTTATCCCTCAAAACTTTAAATACAAAAAAGTTACAAAAAATAGTTTACAACAACAGGAAATTTATTTTGAGTGTCTTCATAGTTTCCTTTTTGAGATACACCAATTTTTTATATACTGCAGGAAAAACGAAAAACATTCCTATGATGCAAATTTGCAAAGAAAACAGCATGTGCATCAAAAGAAACTATTTCCAGCAGTGTAATTTGAGTTATAAGCATCCCAGAAACTATTCAGAAAAGCATAAAGTCAAACATGACTTATAAAAACACCAGTATAGGCTTTTAAGGCCTACAAGTAAAAAACTACATTTTCC